TAAATTTTTACTGACGATACATCAGTATCCCAATACTCTAACCGTAAAGTTAAAAAAACGTTTACAAATCTTTGAGGCTCTTTACATAAAAAGAAATCAATCCACTGTCAATAAAATTTCCTTTTATCTCTTCGTGCATATATTAAAACGCTTTTAAACTGTAAAGTTAATTTGACCGTGTGCTACTAAAATCTATTTTATAGTCATTGCAGTATGTAAATCCACGTTTATTTAAAACATTTGACTGTTAACTGCTATACTGGCTATTTCTCGACTTTTAACTTTCTTTCTTTGAAAAAGGGTAATTATGGTCAAAATTGCTCGTGGCATTACACACAGTTTCGGCAAGTTCTTATACAAGTGCCCATCACCCATTAAACAACTTATTCGGAACCAGGAGAAACACGCCAGAAAGCTTAAGACATTCTTTGTGTATCCACTCCTCCTCCTCCTCCTTTCCTTTTTTTCACACACATACACACACACACACACAGACATAGACACAAGCGCGCATAAACACAAACACAGACACAGAGTACAAACATCTCAAGTGCCAAAGATTTAGAAAGAGCTACTTGATAATTTGTTTCAATGTGGCATGCTGTTTACAAGGTGCTGGGGTGTGAGAGGGAGCTGTGTACCAAACTAGGCAAGTTGGGTGTGGCTGTGGAGTATCTGGTGAGTTCTGCAAAATGTCTCACGCATGCTCATTGCTCAGCGGGGTTTCGTGGTGGCTCTGTAACAGTATCGGTGCATTCTGTCGAACCACTAGTGAAACTGCAGTCAGTTTTGATAGGTGTAACACGCACGTATCTTGTTACAGAACAATTGGACTCCTATACCTTCGCCCACAAGCTAACATTCCTCCCACTCCATCTGCGTGGGTAACACGAAAATATTTCCAGTAATATTGGAATCACTTCAAGGCAATCCACTGACAAGGTGTCAATAACTGAAATGCGTTAAGAGGGTCGATTGATAAAATTTAGATTAAATAGAATCATGAAACCGCTATTAAAATTAAGTTGATTTCTCTTTAAAATAATTAAAGTTGATTGATAAGTACTATCCTAAATCCTACAAGTTTTAGCTGGTTGTCTATTTTTCTATCTGGGTGCACACTAACTTGTATTTTCAAAATGTTGTCGACGAAATCACGAACCTATTTGACTGTCTTGTAAATATTTTAGTTTGTAGAGGACTGTGGCAGTAGTGTTGAGTAGAAGTAGAAAAACACATGTGAGTTAAAATTTTCCTGATAGCCGGTCCAACTACATGAGAAGGTTGGACTTTAATTAAGTCCAAAGAAGGCAAAGAAAAACAAACACACGACCGATAAATATATGTAAACAAATATATGTATTAATAACAAGAAAGGTTACAAGTTACATGGACAGAGTGTGTGTGGTGAATATTATGTGTGTGTATTGTGGTGAGTGTTCGTACGTACGTGTATTGTTCTTAGCGTGTACCAAGCATTTGGGAAACGCTGTATCTGTGAGCGTTCACATCTGCGAAGTGGTGAGGCTGAAAGCCTGAGGCAAAAAAGAGGAGGGTCAGTGAGTATTTATAGCCAGGGAAGAGATACCCCTGTTGAAGGTAAGGAGCTAAGGAGGAGCTAACTCCTACAAGTTTGTCTGGGATGATTACCGAAACTATATAACGGCCATTTTATTCTTATTTATGGCTTGTTACATATTTACAATTGGATATGAATACAAATTCTGATTATTTTTAATCGCCGATAACGTTTCCTATGTAAACATTCGTAGAGAAAAAAAAATGAAATCGTGCGAAACAAAATAGAAAAAAAAAAGAAATAAAAAAAATCGCTTAAACGATTAATAAATAAATGACGTCATAAAATGGCCTTGATCGGGATTTACTCGCCATAGTTGCCTGGCAACAGCCATCGCTTCTTGGTTAAGGCGAGACAGAGCATACGGGAATAGGAGCAACTGGTGCATTTTTAAATCAAGGTTAAGTGCTTGATATGATTAAAGATAACAACCCCAAGCCAACAATAGTCCAGGAAGGAGCGTTTCAGGTAATGGTTAACGAGCAAGTCTAGTTGTCCATTACTATCGAGCTGTGTGTTCGATCCTCGCGAAGTGACCTATACTCGTGCTAAAATAAGTTAAGCTTAGTAAATAGCAACTTCAAATTCTCAGCGTGAGGTAATGGTTAACAAGCTAGTATAGTTCCCAGTTACTTGTGAGTAGTGAGTTCGATCCTCATCAGGTGCCCAATACCTGCGGCCTTGTACCAAAACTAATATCCGCTTTTTAAAGGACAAATGGCTCATTGGCCTGGGATGTTGATGGACCTGTCCGGTTAACCATTACTACTGTTTAGTGAGTTCGATCCTCACTGGGTGCTCTATACTAAACTAAGCTTTGTAAATCGTAGCAATAACCCAGAAATGTTGGATATTTTAAGCCGATAAGGGGATTTCAGTTTTAGAAACCATAAATAAACTGATTAGTAATTTGCTGATCTTAGCTAAGTTAATGGTTGATTTTATGACATGTTAAACCTTGCTGGGTTATATAATATGTATTTTTCATGGGGCACCCAGTGAGGATCGAGCTCACTACTCAGTAGTAACGGTCAAATACACTAGCCTCACTAACTATTAGCCCAGGCCAATGGTTGATTTTATGACATGTTAAACCTTGCTGGGTTATATAATGTGGATTTTTTATGGAGCACCCAGTGAGGATCGAACTCACTACTCAGTAGTAATGGTTAATCGATTCGGATAGAGCTTGTGGTGAGTACGAAATAATAATAATTCTTTTTTCGCACTCCCTTCAAAGTCGGGCGAGTTGATGAAAAAGAGGGAAAGAAATTGGCCAGCCTATGTGAAATTTTCTTTGGACCAATGAAAACCTTGCCTTCACAGAGATTGGCCGGCGAGCTGAGAAAAAGACGGAAATAAATTCGCGAGCCTAGTTGAAATTGCGTTTGGACTAATGAAAACATTGTCGTCACAGAAATTAGCCGTTGAACTAAAAAAAAAAAAAGAAAAAAAAAGAAAATAGCGAGCCTATGTGAAATCATTTTTTAAATAAAATAAAGGAAAATTAAATTAACAAGAGTGTCTGAAGTCATGTTAAATGTTTCGTTTCTGTCAGCTGCGTTCAAGTTCTTGCCAGTATCAAATTACTCGCCAATTATATTATCGGTTTTATTATCAATCACGTGGCGCTTAAAAGAATTTTCTTTCAACAATCCAAGAAAGTTAAACATTTCAAATTATCTCTGTTCGTCTACTTTTGAATGTATGCAAACCATATATCCCTTCGGTGAACAACGAACTCTGTTACCTTTGTTTTAATAATTTTTTAATATTATTTTGTGTCAGATCATTTAATTTGTTTTATGAACATTACCTCTTCATGACAATTCGTTCAAACTACAGGCTTTAAACATGTCTGAGTTATTTTCCTGAAACAAACTACCGGCACAACTTCAAGTGTGTAAAATCGTAAATAAATTTTGTTTTGTTAAAACTATTCGTGTGTTTCCTTGTCATTATAATCCTCCATTAATCTTCTTGGCGTGGGTAAATCAACTGTTCCTTTTTACTCCAAAGCCTCACGCTTCTATAAACTTAATGTTATATGTGAATCGGTGATAGTTTTGAGTACAGGTTAGCTAGCGTATTTCTTTTTATCAGTTACTAGCAGTAGAGGCCGGCGTTGCCCGGGGATGTAACAGTAAGAGATAGATCAAGTATCGACCATCATAAAGACTGAAAAATAAAATTGACAAAGATTATTGTTTAAGGTTGACGGACACGCTTGTCTTAGTTAGTTTTTTTCTTTTTTTTTTGTTTTTTTGGGGTTTTTTTTACGAATTGGTCAAATCCAAACTTAAACAAAAACATTGTTTTCAATCGGTATGAGTCTATCGATTGAATAGAATTTTATTATAAACAATTGTCTTGTAAATGGAATTTTTAAAGCATTCTGAATGTAAAAATAAAGAAAAAAGTGTGCAAGACAATAAGAAACACTACCTGCCAAAAAAAAGTGAAGTTTTGTTGAAATCGGTTGAAAAATGTAGGAAATCCGATCCCATACATAAACGAACACACACACACAAACAACATGGGTTTTATTATAAGTATAACTCGATATGAGTTGTCCCCCTTTCATTCTGGCGACAGAATCGTGTTTTCAAATTGATTTCGTGCAAAAACAATTGTGTTTTTCCAATTTTTGGCGCTGTCAGAACCACCGCAAGGTAATTTTACGCAGTCCTGTGAAGTTTTGTTGAAATCGGTTGAAAAATGTAGGAAATCCGATCCAATATATAAACGTACACACACACACACACGCACACACAATCTGCGTTTTATAATAAGTAAGATTTTATAATCAGTTTCAGATAGAAATTGGCTACTTTGCATTATTATTTTACTGGGGATCTTTATGGTGCCTGGGTGATTCTTATTGTCAGTTTCCAAAGTATATTAAAGATTTAATGTAGTTTGGGGGAGGGGTTATAGTTTTATATTTTACTATAAACACTTATTTCTTTTAAGAAGTTAAGGACATTGTTTGCTTTGGTTTAGTCTTTTGGAAGAGTTCTTTTGTATGGTTTGCTTGATAGTATTTTGTTCGAGTTTGACTGAGATAATGGCGATTTATGAATATATGTTCAACTGTGAAAGGTACTTGACATTTGTTGCATGATAGGGGAGTTTCATTTTTGAGAATTATCAAAGATGTTAAACACATCACGGCCTGCCATATGGTGGCACTTAATTAAGATAGGGAAAGTCAGCAAGCTGCGTGTTTGGGTGCCACCCACACTTAGCGAACAGAACAATGCGGTTGCTGATAGAAAATGACTCAACCTAATAGAGAGATCGATAAATAAAGTTTAAATATATATATATATATATATATATATATATATATATATATATAGGATTAATGTGAGTAAAAGTTTGTCACTTAGCTGATTGATTTACCTTCAGCATTCCGACTCTAGAGTTTTGTAGGCGGACCTGCCCGCCCACTTTTCAGTGGGGTGGATAGATAGATAGATAGATAGATAGATAGATAGATAGATAGATAGATAGATCCGTTCGAATTCCAGTCAGATCCGTTACATTCAATTATGTGGTAATACCCTTGGGAAATATATGAATTCTCTTCTTCTCCCAGTTATACAAAGACAGATCGGTTTCTGTAGCATTGGATGGCAACTGGTCTATCGCAGATAGAAATGGCAACCTACTAGGGGAAAAATCTGCCTCGTCAGTCATGCATCGAAAGATACATGATCGTCTAAGCGTGTATCACGCATGGCACATAACTGACTTAGATAGATAGATAGGTAGATAGATAGATACGAACAGACTGAGATAGATAGATAGATAGATAGATAGATAGATAGATACGAACAGACTGAGATAGATAGATACGAACAGACTGAGATAGATAGATAGATAGATAGATACGAACAGACTGAGATAGATAGATAGATAGATAGATAGATACGAACAGACTGAGATAGATAGACAGATAGATAGATACGAACAGACTTAGATAGATAGATAGATACGAACAGACTGAGATAGATAGATAGATAGATAGATAGATAGATAGATAGATAGATAGATAGATAGATACGAACAGACTGAGATAGATAGATAGATAGATGCAAATGGTGGCTCGATCAAACTGAAGTACACGGACATTATTGATACGAAAAGAGAAATACGAAAAGTAAAACGTAAGGTTGATTAAAGAAATAAAGCACGAAAGAATGAAAACAAAGAAAGATGGAAAAAAGGAAAGAGTAATGTGTGAAGGAATAGTTATGAAAGAAAGAAATAATATTGGATGACAAAATGAAGGGGTATTTTTATACGAAATTTCACCCAATACAAAGCTTGAGAGCCAATCAAGGCAGAGGCCAACTGTTAAATGGCTTTGACGAATAAGGTGTGTGATATGAATGAAAGATGATGTAAATTGAAGATTTAGAGGATATATAACGACTGGCTATTGGGATGATACCGGCTGTAGTTTCCGCTGGAGCATCCATGTAAGAGTCTGGTACACAAAGCAGAAGTTCTTGAGAAAAAATCGGACAACAAGAATGAAAGTGAAAGAAAAAGAAAGAAAGAAAGAAAAAAAGAATGATGGAACGAAAGAGAGAAAGAAAGAAAAAGATGGGGAGAGAGAAAGAAAGAGGGAAAGAAAGCAAGAGGGAGAAAGAAAGAAAAAGAAAAAGTGAACGAAAAAGAAATAAAGAGTGAAAGAAAGGATTAAAAAAGAAAGAAAGAAAGAAAAAAGAAGATATAAAAAGAAGGGAAGTAAGAAAGAGTAAATAAATGAGGAGTTATGCAAGCAACAAGGGAAAGAAAATAAAGAAAGAAGAAGAAAGGAAAGAGTAAAGAAAGCAAAAGAGAGTGATGGAAAGAGGAAGAAAGAGTGAAAAAGGAAGGGAGAAATAAAGAAAAGAAAAAAGGTAAATTGATTGATTAATTCGTTGGCAACGTCTTAACCATTTGCAGTTTATTTAGAAACACAAAATATTTTAAATTCTAAGAATTGGGGGGGTGATAATAATAGTTTAGTGAAACAAATCTTACTAATTAACCAATAGCTGGTGGGAGAAGAGGTGGATCCATGCCTTTCTCAAGAGTATTTACGCATGTGTATGCAACGAACTCAATTGGAATTGAAACTCGGCTCTCCGTTTAACACTTCCATGCGATTATCCACCCCGAACATCCAAGTTTACAGCACCTGTTATTCCCAAGTGGTCACCCATCTAGATAATGTCCATGCTGGATATTGCTTAACGAACCGGTGTTTCAACGGGATATGGACGTAAACTGACGAAAAACAGAAAGAGCGGAAAAACATAAGGAAGGAAGGGAGGAAAAAGAAAGAAAGAAAAAAAAGAAACAAACAAAAAAAGAAACAACTGATCTTTTTTCTAATCGGTTTCACCCCAAACAAGGCAGTAAAGCCACTAAGACACAAGGAGTTACCGGGTGTGGAAGAATTAAGAACAGAAACATTAATAATGAGCAGGAAGAGAAAAGAGTAATCAGGAGGACAGTAAATAGCGATTGACATTGCATTTAAATTTTTACAGATTAAAGTTGACTGGAAAACATGGAGCCGGAAGGGAGTTCCAAAAGCTGGAAGTGCGATAGAAAAAACTGTTAGCATAGAACTTACGGTTACATCTAGTCAGCTCAACTGTAGCGGGTGGGGGCAATATCACCCCGAAATAATAATAATGATAATAAAGGAGAATATGCTGGAAAACAGGAAAACAAAGCGTTTTCAAAAGAACCAAGATGTTAAAAATGCTGTAAACACTTTGAAATGTAAATGTGACAGATTTTTTTAGAAAACAAAATACAATCTTTTTTTCTCTTTAAACGTACAAAAAATATCAGATTATTAATAGAAAATAGATTTCAGAATGTTTTGATCTAAAGTTTAATTTTATCGATAACAAGACAGCATGAATCTATGTAAAGTTTACTAAAATTGCTCAGAACTATTGATAAACTTAGAAAAATGGCAATATGGCAAGGGCACGGAAAGATGAAACGAGTGTGAAGTTTTAATTTAGAAGCGTGTCGGTAAATGGGTCGACCCCGTTCCTAATAAAAGTATGTCAATACGTTCGTACTAGAAAAAACAAATACGTCACCAGTTCTATAAATAAAGAGGCAAGCCAACCGGAAGAGGAGCAGTTGGGTTGAGAGCAGGGCACAGTTAGGCTAGATACAGTGAGGAAGTGACATCAGAGATTGAAACACAGCGATCGCTAACATGTGTTATTAATAAAAGTACCGCTGCTCCTACTACCACTAATATTACTACTACTATTACTACTACTGAGGACGGGAACATCGACGCTTGTAGTAGTTGCGCTAAGAACAGACTAAAAAGGGTTAAAACGAAACCACCTCTCTCCTTTAATGAAATTACACGGAGTATTTTGTTTTGTTTTGTTGATTATCGTTAATATACAAGAGATATTCAACTTTTTTTCCACGAGAATTGTATTATTATATGTATTGTTGATTATATATATATATATATATATATATATATATAAAAGCTTTATATATATATATATATATATATAAAGCTTTTGTCCCTCTAAAATCTGATCGACTTGGCCATATTTATTTGCGGTTAATCCGATTCTCACCCAACAAGTTTGCAGGTAGACCAATGAAGTGGAGAGCTTTCGGAATTCTACGACCCGATAACTACTCGCCAGGATAAAAAATCACAACGTGGCTGGTGAGTAGAACCGAATCGACATTTGAAACCGGAGACTTAGCTCTTACCTGTAATACTGGGCCATACAGGACCAACGGCCGGTCTTGTGGATGACGTCGGCCCGGTGGGGGTTAGGATACGGTGTCACATGGACACCTTGATCAGAGATCGCGTTAAACTGACACCGTGTGAGAGGATCGGCGTTACAAGTTGATAAGATTTCGACGCCAGTCTAGTACAGCGCTTGAAGTCTAGGTATCATAGAGAAGAGCTCATCCAAACAATTACCATGGAAGTATTTATAGAAAAGGCACAGGGAGGCAATGTTACAGTGGTGGGCCAGAGAAATAAAATAAAGAAAAAGTAAAAATGAAAGAAAGAATAGAAACAACAAATAAACAAAGACAAAAAGGCGGAATAAACGATGAGAGGCCATTGAAAGAATAAAGAAAGAAAGAAAGAAAGAAAGAAAGAAAGAATAGCTGAAAAATTAAGAAAGAAAGAGTAATGAATAAATGAACAAAAGAAAGAAAGATAAATAGAAAGAAAGAATTCTTATTCCAAGCACACATAAACATTTTTTTTGTTATTTCTTCGCAACCCAATAAGAATTTTGGATAAAGTATTAACTTCTACAATTCTTGTTTTTCTATTCCTTTTATTTATAACTCTTTATGAGAGTTTCATTTCTTTTACAAAATTGTTGACGGAAACATGATCTACCCTGATGGAATAATCTCATTGGAATCATATCAGTTTCGCTAGTGGCGGGAAGAAACGGTATTTGTTGTTCGCGTCGTAATCTACCTTTTTTTTTTTTATTAACGGGCAAGAGTACAATCAAGCGACAGAAAGAGCGGGCGTTGAAATTTACATGATAAAAGGGAACAGAATGCTTTATGTTACCTATGAAGAGAACAAGCGGAGAGCAGTGGTTAGCAAGCTCGAAATATCGCCCGACCTGCGGTTCCTGTCATTCACCAAACTGCAACGACTTAATACGGGTATTTCTCACCGTTGCAGGAGATCGGTGTTCGAACCCAGCTTCCAGTTGGTGTATTTTATACGTCAGCACTTACTGTGCTATTTAATATTGAAATCAGCCTTTTCGCTATATTTACGCCTGTAAACATTAACTTGGTTGTTTATAGCTGGGCCTGAAAGTATTTATTTGGTAGATAGCTTCTTTTGAGAAGAGTTACCCTACTTTGCAGGGAATACAGTCAGCGTATTACAGGCCACGTCGACAAGCCGGGTAAAAGCCAAACAACTGGAGGCTTATTTTCTGTATTGTTAGGGCCTTTTCACTTGAAGTACAAGGGTAACACTGTTCCTATGTCATCTGGTTTGAGCTGTAACAAGCTTAATATATATGTCTGAGCATAGTAAAGGTAAACAATGACGGGCTTATTTAGGCATTTCCGACTAAGATTAGTACAATACCAGTGCGTTCTGCTGAGGATCAACGTGGCGCTTTCCGATACGTCTACCTAGGATCAGTGTAATATCACTGCGCAATGACACGGATCAAAGTATCGCTTTCCGATACGTCTATCAAGGATCAGTGTAATATCAGTGCGCTATGACTGGGATCAAAGTGTAGCTTTCCGGTACGTCTACCTAGGATCAGTGTAATATCACTGCGCAATGACACGGATCAAAGTATCGCTTTCCGATACGTCTATCAAGGATCAGTGTAATATCAGTGCGCTATGACTGGGATCAAAATGTCCCTTTCCGATTCGTCTATCTAGGATTAGTGTAATATCAGTGCTCTCCGACCCGGATTAAAGTGTCGCTTTTTGATACGTCTACCTAGGATCAGTGTAATATCAGTGCATTATGACATGGATCAAAATGTCACTTTCCGATTCGTCTACCTAGGATTAGTGTAATATAATTGCTCTCCGACCCGGACCAAAGTGTCGCTTTCTCATACGTCTACCTAGGATCAGTGTAATATCAGTGCGCTATGACATGGATTAAAATATCACTTTCCGATTCGTCTATCTAGGATTAGTGTAATATCAGTGCTCTCCGACCCGGACTAAAGTGTCGCTTTCTGATACGTCTACCTCGAATCAGTGTAATATCAGTGCACTATGACATGGATCAAAATGTCCCTTTCCGAATCGACTATCTAGGATTAGTGTAATATCAGTGCTCTCCGACCCGGACTAAAGTGTCGCTTTCTCATACGTCTACCTAGGATCAGTGTAATATCAGTGCACTATGACATGGATCAAAATGTCACTTTCCGATTCGTCTATCTAGGATTAGTGTAATATCAGTGCTCTTCGACCCAGACCAAAGTGTCGCTTTCTGATACGTCTACCTAGGATCAGTGTAATATCAGTGCACTATGACATGGATCAAAATGTCACTTTCCGATTCGACTATCTAGGATTAGTGTAATATCTTTGCTCTCCGACCCGGACTAAAGTGTCGCTTTCTCATACGTCTACCTAGGATCAGTGTAATATCAGTGCGCTATGACATGGATTAGAATGTCACTTTCCGATTCGTCTATCTAGGATTAGTGTAATATCAGTGCTCTCCGACCCGGACTAAAGTGTCGCTTTCTGATACGTCTACCTCGAATCAGTGTAGTATCAGTGCGCCATGACATGGATCAAAGTGTCGCTTTTCAATACCTCTACCTAGGATCAGGTTCATATCTCTGTGTTCTGTGTAAGTTTGTGGCTTTCCGCTATGTCACTGCAATATCAGTACGTTCTGGCACGATTCAAGTTAGCATTTTCTGGTTCGTTTGCCTACCATCAGTTTAATATCTGCGTGCTCAGCGTAAGGATCAAAGCGTGGCTTTTCGTTATGTATGCCTTGAATCAGTGTTATATCTAAGATCAAAATGTCGTTTTCCGGTACGTCTGCGTAGGATCAGTGTAATATCTGTGTTCTCCGTATAAGATTAGAGTGTTACTTTCCGGTACGTCTTTTTGAAGATCAATGTTATATCTGTTCACCTAGTCTAGGCTCAAAGAGTCGTTAATCAGATACGTCTTTCTAGGATCAGTGTTATATTCGGGTGTTCAGCCTACGCTCAAAGTATCGCTTTCTGGTACGTCTGTTTGGGATCAAAATAAACTGACGTTTATTCCTTCTTCTCAATATATCTCAATTATCTTATCTTATATATAAAGTATAGGGTATGTGTATTTGTGCGTGTGTGTGTGTCCAAGCAACTCCTCCGCTCCCACTGGTCCGATTTCAATGATTCATGGCTCATTCAAAACCCCTAGAAAAGTTAGACAGAGGAAACGATTTTCGTTGAGCTCTGATTCAGGGTTGCCAGATTATGCGAGGTTAAAAATATATATTAATATATTATACTAGCCATTATCGTTGCTTTCATGGTTCAAAGTGAGTAACTCTTATTTTCCTTTTGTATCCAAAATCCCAAATTGCAGTGAACGCTTTATTATAAATTAGTTTAAAAGCCGCCCGGTAGAGAGCATTTTCCTGTGGAGGACTCTTGGTTTGGCCATCATCACAGATTCTAGGGAGGAGTAGATGTGACAGGCATCAATAAACTACGGAAGAATTCACAACTGATCGCTGCATTTAAGTGTTGATTTAATGTTTAAGCATACCTTTTAAAAGTTCAACGATAATTCTTCTGCTGCTATTTGATTTAAAGACGATTTGACATACGTAGATCCTTATTTTACGTACAAACAATTATCTTTATTTCATGGGTGACAGAATAGGGGACAATTTATAAAATAAAATTAATATAGTGTAAAGATGGGAAAATAGAAATCAGAATTTGTTATGCATTCAACATTTGAAGAGTTAGAGAAACGTAATAGCAATTAAGTAAAACCTATATTATGGAATATAATTAACTATTTCTATGCTACATTAGAATTCATCTCTTTTCTCTACAGTTACTCAGTCAGTCTAATAGCTTTTAGGCTACCTATTCGTGTTCATTTCTATTAATAGGTGTTTTGAAACGGTTGTGATGGAAAGGCGCTCTGATCTTTACAGTGGCTGACAAATTCGAGTAATTCGCGTGTCAGAATCCAAGGATACTGTAGGGGTCATGAACATCTACATCCTGAATGGACATAGCCTTTAAAAATCATGCTACACTAGAACTCATCTCTTTTCTATCCGGCTATACATTAAATAACAAGGTAGACTGTGTTCTATAGCCTTCAATGGATGCCAGTCTAAAAGAACAACCCTAATTTTAAAACCGTCAAGAACGTAACGGGAAACCACTCAACTATTTATCCCAAGAACGTATGCTAATTCAGAGATCATAAAAAGGACGCTATAGCGAACTATCTTCTGAAGGGACATTGCATTGAAAAGGAAGCCGTCGAGGATCATAATCGTTCACATCCTGAAGGTACAAAGCCTTTAAGAAGCATGCTACAGCAACCAGGTTTGTCAGATCTCGCCTGTCTCAATCCTCTTTGAGCCGCAAGGGTGGAGTTTCTGGCCAAGTGTGTCGGCTTCTCTAGCGTGCAGAGTTTTTCCACCAAAATCCAATTCACGCCAATGGTCTCGTCAAACTCTCTTTGATTCACAGCTAACTCCGCCACCGTCACCGGGACTGGAGAAAGGGAACAGAGAGAGAGAGAGAGAGAGAGAGACATGACGATCCCGATGATCATATGAGAGCAGGTGCTAACAAGACAATAATAATAATAATAATAATAATAATAATTATTATTATTATTATTATATTTGATATTCTGTTTTGTAAAAAGACTGACTAGCCTTCGTTACACCTATTATTCAAACATGGATTCGTCCATCCGCTATGAGTAGAACGTCTGCCCATGGAACAGGGGCAAAAAGTTGGACGCAAAGGCGTAGCGCTCTCCAGTCGTACGCTTGTCGCACTGAACTATTATGTTCTCAATTTCAATATCATATTCATATCTATCTATCTATCTATCTATCTATCTATCTATCTATCTATAAATTGTGTAGTAAACTATTTCAAATATCAGAAAATTAATTAAAATTAAAAGAAAATAAATAAAAAGAACTCAATAATAACATTCTGTAATTATATTTCGTATCTACTGCTAGTAATATGTACATTTCATATACACAGTAATTATTGAGAAAGTCACATTTTTCAACAAAAAATTTAATTAGAGCTTTTTTCCATATGTATGTTTTTCAAAATGTTATTTATTCGTTATGAAAATTAAATGATAGCATTGTAGTTGTGAATGAGCTCTCTTTGTCCCCTAACAATATTTTTAGACCCAGTCCACCACTGTCTAGTTATGAGGTTTTTCATATTTATCTCAATTTTTTTCATATCTATCTATCTATCTATCTATCTATCTATCTATCTATCTATCTATCTGTCTGTCTCTGTCTCTGTCTCTGTCTCTCTCTCTCTCTCTCTATATATATATATATATATATATATATATATATATATATATATATATTTAACCTTAAACCCCTTCCATCCACCTCTCCTAATATTCTCTCTGTTAAGGTTTAATCTCCCTCCCCCTCATACTTACACTCTCTCTAAATTCTGTTTTTATTTCCGGAGTTGTTTTTTTCTGTTTTCCTTTTGAATTTGTAGGTCTGATGAATTGGATCGTATTTACGATTCCAATGGAATAAATTATGACCATGGAATATTAGTGTTTAAGCCTTTTTATTATATATATAAAGGGCAGTTGTCTGTATATGTGTGTATATGTCGGGCTAAAAGTAAAAAGCTCCAAAAATTATGACAAAGTAAGTATATATAAGGATCATTATCACCCAAGCCAGCTTTTTGCAAAAATTATCATTTATCATGTAAAATCAAAATGCATAAGAATGTATTCAAAATTCTCAGGATTAAAAAGTAAAAACGAGCGGTGATAATTCTTATTCCAGATTAGGATTACCGTTCGTTTTTACTTTTTAATTCTGCTAAACGCTATACATGTATGCATTTTTAACATTTCTATACTCTTGAATTTATTTTTACAGCTATAGTAAAAAAAAAAAGCATAACTTTAAAAAGATGAATATTAAAAAAAATAAATTTAAAAGTACAAGAATATTAAATACAATTATCTAACAAAAGTTTAATATTTATTTATTCAAATATTCAAGTGTGTTTCTCTCTCTCTCTCTCTCTCTGTGTGTGTGTGTGTGTGTGTGTGTGTGTGTGTTATTGACTTATTAATATGTTTCGTCCTTCTACGGAAAAGTTAATTGTTCAGGAACGCAAGGGAGAAAGGGTTAATATGTAAATTATGCAGCAAACTATATAAAATATCAGACAATTGCTTAAAATTAAAAGAAAATAAATAAAAAGAATTCAATTATAACATTCTGTATTTATATTTGCTATCTACTGTCAGTAATATGTACAGTACATGTACATTATAATTGCTAAGAAATACACATTTTTTTTTTAACAAATTTGAAAATTTTATTTATTCGTTATGAAAATTAAAGGATAGCATTAGTTGTGGGTAGATCCTCTTTGTCTCCTGGCAACCAATATTTTTAGTCTGCCACTGCTCGGGACAATCACCCGCTTTCGCCGCAAGCTGGTGATGGCTATTAAATAATTTAGCGCTGGACCGGTTCCGGATATTTAGTTCTGAAATGAATTATAGCAGCATTCTGATTTAGACAGTTTCAGATAGGAAAGAGATAGTCGTAAAACTAAAGAAGCGTGAGAAATATAACCTTAAGTTCTATTCTAATAGTTCCTTCTCTCGCACTTCTTGCCTGTTGAACTCTTTTCCAGCTTCTTGCTTTCCTGTCAAGTACGATTTAAATGCAGCCTCAACAGTCATCCGTATTTCAGAATCATCTTCTTTTTATTGTCCTTTCTCCTCAATCACGTTTTCTCAGGTCTTTTCACTCTATTATCTTTCATCGTCGATAATCCATTGCGTCTTAGTGGCTTTATTGCCTTGTCTGGAGTAAAAAAAATGTTTTAGATACTAGCCAAATGCGTTGAAAATTCGGAAGAAAGGAATTATCAGTGATTAGAAATAAAAGCAAGTATTATTGATAGGATATAGCTAATACCTCTACAATGCATTACTAATTATTTTACTATATAAATGCATTGTAAATCAGTAAGAAAGGCATTGTTATAGGTCAGGAATTAATACAATCATGACTGAATTAATAGGCTTATCATGTATAAGTCCCGAGTATGATGATAAACTACATATGGCAAGAAAGCATCTGATCAGGAGGTTTTAAGGAGTGTGGAACCACCTCTAAATTGCTGTTGTTCCCAGGTCCAACTTGACCCGAGGTAGTAGCACCTGTTAGGGTCCTAGCTATGGGTAAGTAGTGAACTTCCAAACAAAAACAAAAGTCTATGAAAGTATAAAAAGTATAAAAATACATTTTATAGTAAAAGTACCAACAATACATTTAAAAATTGCCAACACTATATATTTATAGTAAAATGATCATCAATACATTTTTAAAGCAAAATGAACAACAATATATTATTCTATCTGTAGTTGAAGCCATAAAATTGTGTTCAAAATATTTAGATTTCGGTATTAAATAACCCATAGAGGTGTTGATATGCCACTAAACAAAATCAACCAACTAACCATATATACTGTAAATGTATTGCTAATGATTTTTATTAACTTAAGCGTAGTAAGAAATTGGCATTTAGGTCTCATCATTTTACCGTTGAAATTGTTAAGTTTAGTCATAAGTTGCATCCTAATAGGTTTTTTTTCTCGTACATCTCGAGGGTGAGACTCTCTTTCAGCTTCTTTAAACTTTTCATTTCTAATGAATCATGTCTTACGCCCACTCTTTTTGGTTTGATGCTTGGGATTACCATGTTTTCAGATCAAAGTTTAAACATTTCAATTTGTCTTTCTAGCATAAGAGTGGACGTCCAACCGAACGCTTGGAGTTTGGTAGTTGTCCATACAGCACCTTCTTTAGAAACCTATGCCCATCCATTTTCACATCATGACCATCCCACCTAAGTTATATCTTTGATATATATATATATATATATATATATATATATATATATATATATATATATATTAATTATTTTTTAAAAAAAAGTATATTATAAAATCACTAAATAGCCATTTTTTTCAATACACTTGTGTCTTATTATCAAGTGATGATGTTGAAAATAAAATAAATAAAACTTTTAAAACCATTTATTTTATTTTCAACATCATCACTTGATAAGACACAGAGTGTGTTGAAACAAAATAGCTATTTTGTAGTGATTTTATAACATACTTATGTTATAATTTTTTTTATAAAAAATAATTATATCTGCTCTACTTTGTATTGAGCACTCTTTTAAGAATAGTAATTGTTGGTTATTGGAATTCATTCCGTATATACCAATTATATATATATATATATATATATATATATATATATATATATATATATATTTTATTTTCATATAGACAAAACCATTTTACTCACTACAAAGATGCAACTTCGTTTCAGTGCATTTCAACTGCACTTCGACGGGTGAGAATCGAAAATGGTTATAAAATTATAATAAATAAATAATTATCGCTCTACTATCGGTATCGAGCCCTTTTTTTTATTAATGCTGTGAACGTTAGAATTTATATATTACTTTCGTTCTCATCGCATCGGATATATATATATATATATATATATATATATATATATATATATATATGGTTCAAACAAAAACTGAGATACAAAGACAGTAAAATAAGTTCGTGTTATTTCAAGTTGGTTGATATGGAAAATGGACGATCTTCAAAATTTTAATTCAACATCAATCCTTCATTTCTTTATTACTGCATTTCTTTTTATTGTCTCTTTATCTTCAGTAACGATTTTTTGTAGATTCCTTCACTCTAAGTAACGCTTTACGTCTTAGTGGTTCTATCATCCTGCTTGAGATGATTTTTTAATAGCGATTACCCCAAAGCAAGGCAATAAAACCACTAAGACACAAGGCTGTGGAAGTAATAGAAAACAGAATCCTTACTACGGAGGGATAACAATAGATGAGTAATCAGGAAGACAGTAGATAACAATTGACATTGCATCTAAACTTTTGAAGATTAAAGTTGTCTGGGAAGCATGCAGCCCGGAAGAGAGTTCTACAAGCGAGAAGTGTGAGAAAAGAAACTAATAGCATAAACTTATGTTTACATCTAGCCAAGTGGTCTAAGACCTAATGGACAATCTAGTCTTCGTTTAAATTCATAAAGTCTAGGTACTATAGCAAAGAGCTCATCAGAACAACTACCGTGAAGGTATTTATAAAAAAAGGCACATTACAGAGGTGGGAGAGAAACTGAACCCGAAATGCCAGATCAGGGCCAATAATATTGTTGATTCATTTTGGGGGAGATTTTATCAAGAATATCAAGAGCAAGCGGCCATATACTGCAAAAATATTCTAAGTATGATAAAAGAAAGTTCTGAAAAAAACTCATACAGAAGTAATGAACGAATCCCTGTGAATAAAAATGCTATTGTCAGACGAATAGACTAAAAAATTAGAGACGGAGAACAAAAAAGACGAAACCTGAATTATTTTTATTGTGAAATGTCTAATAAGAACGTCGTTGGGCAATAGATTAACAAGTTTATTTTTTGTTTCATTTTAATTTTCTCG